AGACATTCTTCAACTTCAGTCAAAACAACCAAGCATAAAAAAAATGTTTCCTCCCTAATTAAGAATTGGGACAACACAGCTTTGAGAAGCTCCTATGAGACATGATCCAACCTGAGGCACAAACCCCACAGCTTCCACATCCAGCACAGCTGCTGAAGTCCAAAATCACAGGTTATTTCTGCTAGACAGTTGAGCTAATAAAGCATTTGCTCTCTAGTCTCTGAGCTCAAGTCGTTGTTCTTCACCTAATTCAAAATGGAGTAATTAATTTTCCTTTTGAGTTAATTGAGTGTTATTATTCCCTTCCTGGAAAATGGTGGAACAATGAAATGAAGTTTGTTCTCCTCAGCCCTCTCAAGTCCTGATTTATGCTATCAGAGTAGAAAAAGAGATCCTACAAAACAAGTGTGAGTTATTAGATACCAAACTGATAATTAATTCTCTAATTCCAATACCACATTTCTAATTTAGAAAACTTCAAGAAGATCCCCCAGTTCTGATGCTTTCACATTCTTTTCCCACCACAAGCTTGCAATGCAGTCAGCACCTGCTGCAAGGACACATCATTTCTATTCTGCCTGAAATGAAAAGGGGAAAATAACAACCTGTGTCTCTCAAGTCACCAGCTCTGGTCCTGGCCAGCTTGGCTTTAGCACTGTCATTGGCATGAGGGTCATCCTCGTTGGTGAAGAGCATGATCCTTTTGTGGCTGAGCCTGACCTGGACATCACTGAAGAGGTTGGAGCAGGCCCAGAGTGCTTCCCCCAGTGAGTAGTCGGCATCGTGGCCAAAGGTCTCCCTGAAGAGCACTCGTCCTTCTTCTCCCCTGTACTGGTCCAGCTCCAGCACACGCTTGGCACCTGTGGGGATAACAGCAGCCATGGGCATTAGGAAAGTCCTGCAAACTCTTCCAAACCTGCACTGAGGGGCCCTTGCAGCTGGTGTCCAAGTCAAGTCCCCCAGCACCTCTGTGGCAGCGTCCTCCCGATCTACTTGACAACGTCCCTGCTCACTGCAGGGGACTACACGACCTTAAAAGGGCCCTTCCAACCCAAATCATTCTGATTCAGATATTTCTTCTTCTTCCTCCACAGCCTGCTGCTCTCCAGCAGCAGCAAGCACACAGCTGTCTTTTGAACAACACTCACCTTCCACCTGCAATGTCTTTATCAGCAGGTTGAAGCTACTGCCTCTAGTGCAGGGAAAAGGGCAAGCAGGGAAGAAGGATGAAAAAGAATGAGAGAATCCTGCAGTGCTTGCTGCCAGGAGAGGGAGAACCACCTAAGGCAGCCTTGTCAGGTCCCTACTATAATAATCCTGAAACCAGGACAAGGGGTTTCACACACAGTTCTTTCAGGAGAACCTGATGTGTCATTAAACCTGCACCTCGCTAAGAAAACCAAATCAAACCTCCTGGGGGATAAAGGCTGCTAGTAAAAGCCAGTCGACAAAATCCCCCCTCAGGGCTCTCCACTGTCAGAGAATGTGTCACCACTAGCATGCATTCTCTGCACTCCTCCTCCTCCCCTTCCCAATTCAGCAACTGGTACTTGCTAGCAAGCAGATGGCAGGTGACTCTAATAAATTTCAAGACCGTGGAAGAACTAAATTCTAGAATTGCAAAATTTACCATGAAAAGAAGAGACTGAACACCCCAAACAGGTTAATATATTGGACAACCTGTTCTACATGGCCCTGCTGAAGGATAGTTGGACAAGATGATGTCCAGAAATCTCACCTAACCTCAGCCATTCTGTGATATTCTCCACCAGCTGGAATCTGTGGTGCCTTAGCATGTACATGCACTTTTCTGGAGTGGGGCAGACATGTGATAGGCTCTCAAGGCTTTTCTGTTGTGGTCCTCTTAGGTTTTGCAGACAGAAAGCAAATCACCATGTTAAAAGAGAAGAAAAGACATAGGAAAGGGATCTGAACCAACTCTAACAGAAAATGCTCCCACTAAGTTTCTAAGCTTTCAGTAAACTTCTAAACATACCCCCCCAACCACATCTTAGGAAGTTTATCTGATAACCCTCTGCTTTTAGGGCCATCCCTTAGTGACAATGCTGCTACACAGATTTCCTTACTCTAGCTTTCCACACAACCTTCAGATCACTTTGCTGCCTTTACCTGGGTTGTCCAGCTCCTGGAGAACGTAGACGTGCTTGAAATCTGCCGAGTTCTTGTTCTTTTCTGTACCATAGAACACGACACCTAACAGGTCCCTGTCACTACTGATAATTTTGCTGGTGTACACATTCCGGATGCACTGAAAAAAAAACACACACAGGGCAAAATATGGAAAAAAAACCCACAGTCACAAGAATTTCTGTCTTTGGCTCCCCGAGCGGCCTCACCTGCATGGTCATGTCAAAGGGAGCCAGCCCCTCCCCGTCGGGCTCAAACATCGCCTTGGAGGCATCCACCAGGAAAATGAGGCTGT